TTTAACAGAAACAATAGCTATGGTTGTTAACAATTTTAACAGAAACAATAGCTATGGTTGTTAACAATGTTAACAGAAACAATAGCTGTGGTTGGTAACAATGATAGCAGAAACAATAGCTGTAGTTGGTAACAATTTTAACAGAAACAATAGCTATGGTTGTTAACAATGTTAACAGAAACAATAGCTATGGTTGTTAACAATGTTAACAGAAACAATAGCTATGGTTGTTAACAATGTTAACAGAAACAATAGCTGTGGTTGGTAACAATGATAGCAGAAACAATAGCTATAGTTGGTAACAATGTTAACAGAAACAATAGCTGTAGTTGGTAAAAATGTTAACAGAAACAATAGCTATGGTTGTTAACAATGTTAACAGGAACAATAGCTATGGTTGTTAACAATGTTAACAGAAACAATAGCTGTGGTTGGTAACAATGATAACAGAAACAATAGCTGTGGTTGTTAACAATGATAGCAGAAACAATAGCTGTGGTTGTTAAAAATGATAGCAGAAACAATAGCTGTGGTTGTTAACAATGATAGCAGAAACAATAGCTGTAGTTGGTAACAATTTTAACAGAAACAATAGCTATGGTTGTTAACAATGTTAACAGAAACAATAGCTGTGGTTGTTAATAATGTTTGATTTGATTTAGTATTATAAACTGTTTGATAATTGAAATTACTGGGTTTGGTAATATATACTCTCCTGTGTTACTGTCCTAGATTCAGTAATGCAAAGTGTTTTATAGTACAAATTTCTGCTAGTCAGAATCGGGAATCTTCATTGTCGTTCTACTTGTATAAAATTTAATCTGACATCTTTCTACTTGTATGAAACTTAGACTGACATCTTTCTACTTGTATAAAATTTAATGTGACATCCTTCTACTTGTATAAAGGTTAGACTGACATCTTTCTACTTGTATGAAATTTAATCTGACATCCTTCTACTTGTATAAAGGTTAGACTGACATCTTTCTACTTGTATGAAACTTAGACTGACATCCTTCTACTTGTATAAAATTTAATCTGACATCTTTCTACGTGTATAAAATACAAGTTGACTGGCATCCTTTTACTTGTATTCTAAGTATGGTAGTTTTTAATACTAGAGATTGACAAGGATTTCAAATAATTTGTGCACCGAAAAATCACCCTATCGAATTCCTAAGCAAAAAAAAACTAACCATTCAAAGTATTGGTTACAATATATTATGCACATATATAAATACTAACAATACTCTAAAAAGGTCACTAACATTTCCAGTTTAACAATTAAAGAAATTTATAAACCAGCAACTTTTTTATCTATTACCTACCTACCTGATCACGTCAGTGGGACTAGCCCTAAGACGGCTCAGACTATTGCTACAAGATTTCTCCAGCTTACCTGATTGGGCTGTGGTTATTCGCTTTTGCTATTCCAATACAAGTATAATGTATACAGGTATAATATAAATGGCAAACATATCATGCAAGTACTTAAATATCTTTTCCACCCAATGGATGGCGCTACATATCGATGGATAGATATGTGACAGTTTCTAAAGGTAAAGTGTATACTTTGTACAGGTATAATATAAATGGCAAACATATCATGCACGTACTTAAATATCTTTTCCACCCAATGGATGGCACTACATATCAATCGATAGATATGTGACAGTTTCTAAAGGTAAAGTATATACTTTATACAGGTATAACATAAAAAAGTAAACAAACAAGAGTATTAAAATTCATAATTTTTAATACTCTTTTAAAACATAGACTTACATCTTGTTACTGTTATAATACTTAATCTGACATCCTTCTACTTGTATAAAATTAATCTGATGTTTTTGTACTTGTATAAAACTAATATCCTTTTACTGGGATTTTAAGGCTTAAAGTAATAAACATTCATCCATAAGTTATTATTTTAGTTACTTGGATAATAAAATATGTGATATTGTACCTCTGTATAGTTTATGGAGGTTTCTATGATATTTATGGAGATTTCTGTAATAGTTCATGGAGGTTTCTATAATATTTATGGAGATTTCTGTAATAGTTCATGGAGGTTTCCATAATGGCTCATGGGATTTCTGATATTAGTGTTTGAAGGTTTCTGAAATAATTTATAGAAGTTTATGTAATAGTTCATGGTGGTTTCCATGATAGTTTTATTGCATTGGATATATCGTACATGTTTATTTTCTGTTGAGTACTGTTTTTTTCTTAAACAAAAGACAGTTTTTCAAATTTTAGACTTGATGTTTAAAAAACCAAACTAATATACTCGTACTTGTAATTGGCATATAACGAAAATGTTCATAATAATGTGGTATTTTCAGTAATTTTAAAAATGTATTTTCGTGGAGATTAAGTAACATTCCCTTCCTTTTCTATACAGCTTTATACAGCTACAAGAAGAAAAAGAAATCCTTTACATTGAAAACAGGTATTTTTTAATAGGGTTAAACTTGGCGTAATATTTTATATATTGATCCCTCTTCTAGAACTCAACCCTCCTAGTTTTTACTAATTACTCATTACATTTATTGATCTGTAGAAATGAAAGTTATTTATTGGAAGTGTATAACTTATTAGAAAATGTTATATTGAATATTGTATAATGTTTAGTTGGTATGTTTTCTTTTGCATATTTTTGGACATTCCACTTGAATGTTTATATCAACAGTTAAAACATTTAAAGTATGCTTTACCATTATAAATAGTGTAAAAAATTAAGTTACAGTAAAATTAGAATCATAGGTTAACATCAAACTGAAAAGTAAAACATCAAATACAGTAATATCCCCTTTTGAATAATAGCAAATGTTTCAAATTGTTCAAATATTTTCGTAAAGGTTTGTTGCTTTAACCCTATGGCTACAGGTATCCTTTACTGCACGTGACACAAAGTTTTAGTGTCTTACATTCAAAATTTTTGAGAATTAGGGAAAATTGTCTACTTTTTTGCATGCTATTAGTCTATATTCTTTTATGCATTATTTAATTAAATAAAAATTATTTAGTGCATTACTATCATTAGTATAAAAAAAGTAGGGTTAAGTGTCATTGACAATCGACAAGAAGAAGATTGGGTAAGTACTTTATTTCTTGTTTTTCATGTTTATTCTTTATTTATTATTATAAAGTAATTAAAAATGTAAAAATAGGGATCTTTTTTTAGGTTAGTTAAAATCAAATTTGGTGAAATAAATAATAATATATAATAAAAGTGTTTCACAAGGCATGCACGCGAGCAGCTCGTGGGTAATGTAATTCGATAGCGTAACATGAGCTGTATATTCCCCAAGTGACTTACAACTTATAATGGTGTGAATAGTAGTCAGACATAGTTCAAAAGGCTATAAAACAATAAAATATAATTATAAATATATGTATACTGTTACAAGCTTAAAGCTACTTAGGATAAACGAATGTAGTTTCATATTACAATTTGAAGTCATTCTAGAAGGGAAAAAAAGATAATTTAGATTTGTCCTTTTTGGTGGTTACGAGGTCGGTCAAATGAACCGATCCTGTATAAAGATAGGGTAGAGAAAATAACAGATAAAATATAAGGTTTTACTGAGAAAAATCATTTGAAATGTATTTAGGAGGTTTTAAGGATTACAGAAAGGAAATTTGAAATTTTTGAGATGAATAAAAGTATTTCTAATCTTCGAATGAATATTACTTTGCACACATACTATTCAGAACATCAATATATTCCTGGACAAATCTATATTTTAGTTTATTAAAAATACTTCACTAAAAATTATGATTTTTTTGTATGTGAAAGACTTATAATATTAACTGAAAGACTGCCAAATTTTGTGAAGATATACACGCTATATTGAAAGTTAGAAGTATTAAATCTATAAAGACTTTAAACAAGTACAAAGTGGTCATGTGATTGGTCAAATTGATCGATCCCATCTTGAAAGAGTTAATCAATGAACCTAAAGATGATGAAGTACATGCATGGGAATCTCAGATAACAATGTACAAACATTTATGTTTTGTGCCTTGCTACTGGTGAATCTGAGATAAATATGTATACACGTACTTCTGTTTTTTGTCTTGGTACTGTGAATCTGAGATGAAATGTGTGCATGCTTCTGTGTGTTGTTTTTGGTTCTGTAAACCTGAGGTTAAACATCTGCACACTTTTGGTTTGTGTCTTGATACTGTGAATCCGAGATGGAATGTCTGGATATCTTTTCTCGCTACTGACAGGAAAGCATACGACTCACTTCAAGCAGTGAAAGACAAGGAGATTCAGCAGCTGCAGGATATGGTTCAGCGTCTCCAGTCACAATTAAACACATCCTTTCAAAACCTGGAGGATATTAGGACCAAAGCCAATAGCAGGGTACAGGAGCTAGAGCATCTGATAACCTGTTTACAAGATCAGGTAAGCCTAATTTGTTTGTACCATGTTATACCAACTGTTAATGCAAGATCAGGTAAGCCTAATTTACTTCTACTACATTGTACCATGTTATACCAACTGTTTACAAGATCAGATAACCTGAGTTTGTACTATGTTATACCTGGTGACTAAACAAGACTGGAGAACCTAAATTTGTTTGTATTGTGTTATACCTGCTGACTGAACAAGACTGGAGAACCTGAATTTGTTTGTATTGTGTTATACCTAGTGACTAAACAAGACTGGAGAACCTGAATTTGTTTGTATTGTGTTATACCAATAAACTGAACAAGACTGGAGAACCTGAATTTGTTTGTATTGTGTTATACCTTGTTTGTATTGTGTTATACATAGTGACTAAACAAGACTGGAGAACCTGAATTTGTTTGTATTGTGTTATACCTGCTGACTAAACAATACTGGAGAACCTGAATTTGTTTGTATTGTGTTATACCTGGTGACTAAACAATACTGGAGAACCTGAATTTGTTTGTATTGTGTTATACCTAGTGAATAAACAAGACTGGAGAACCTGAATTTGTTTGTATTGTGTTATACCTGCTGACTAAACAAGACTGGAGAACCTGAATTTGTTTGTATTGTGTTATACCTGGTGACTAAACAAGACTGGAGAACCTGAATTTGTTTGTACTATGTTATACCAATAGACTAAACAAGACTGAAGAACCTGAATTTGTTTGTATTGTGTTATACATGCTAACTAAACAAGACATACATGAATTGTTTTAAGATATTATGTGATTTGAGATGTTTTTTAATCACACTTTTGTTAGTGTTGCTTACTTGTTTTGTATTGTCTGTTTAGATTGCTTCTGTATTCCACTGGTTCTGTTTGCATTTAGAACTCTTTGATTGTGCTCATTTTCTACCATCTTTATTCTGTGCTATCTCTTTATGGAACTTCTAAAATAAAAGATTTAATGAAACAAAGATGAAAACATAGGTGAATAAATGTTTAAATAGGAATTTGTTTTAAATTTGGTCTCAATAAAAGGTAGCTGATACTAAGACCTCATTTAAACAAATACCTTAAGGATTAATCTGACAAGATTTCTGTTTACTGTAGTGGGTATTAAAATACATTTCACCAAACCAACAGATGGTTATGTTTGCAGCTTACATTAACTAGTTTATTTCATCCACAGCAGCAGTATCGTACATCCAGAGCTTGGTCACTATGCCATAAGATACAGTAACTTTAACTTACCATGTCCTCTGACCTAAATATACTCCTGCATGTTCCTAAAAGTTAATAGTTCTTTAATGTATTTTATTTGCTAAACAATGTAATCTTTTTTATTTTAAAATGATCCGAGTTATTTTAGGTTTAATATTTTTGAAAGTATGCTAAAGGTACTTTACAGCTAACTCTGTGAAAGCTTATCCATGTATTATTAATTAAAATGGTAGATTCATTGCTAGCTGCCATCTTTTCAGTAAAAGGGGTTTTATACCTGAAGAATTGTGTTGTTTCTTATGGCACATCCTAAAAATTTTCAGCTAAGCAGATTTTGGAGATTATATTTAATTCCAAAATGATAACTCACCTCCTCGCACAGATTAGCCATCTTTCTAATTTCACATGATTTTACATAAATTGTGCCACTGTATGATGGCATCATTATACAATGAATCCCTTCACCAATAGGAGGGCAACACTCCTCTATGCACACTAACTCCCTCTATGTATTGTGCTTTGAATCTTTATCCTTTTCCTTGGCACTGTACAGCATAGATGCATTCAAATTTCTCATCTGTGTTTAATATATTGAAATTTGCATCGTTAATGAAACTTTGATTTTCGTTTACTTTAGCTTTTGTTTTCAAATTTTTATGTTATTTCTGGAATGGTGGTGATTTATACTTAGTCCTCATTGTGAGACATTGTTCACATATAGGTCTTATTTCTGCCTTTCTTACCTGATAGTTCTTTGATGGATTCTCATTCTCAGTCTTTCTTAGTCATTGGGTGGCCCTGTTCATGGCCTTTCACATTTATCTGATACTAAGAGGTGATTCCTTCCCTTTCCTCTCTGTTCTGTTCCATGTCTTCATTCTCCTCAGTCCTCCTTGTCCAACTGTTTTACCTAATTGAGACTTTAATGAAGTTTTGCATGACCTCATGCATGCCCCACTTGAGCCATTAACTTTCTGGCTTTTGTACTGAATTTCTCTCCTTTCTTGTTTCGTCCTACTTCTCTACTACGATAACAGTTGTTCTGATGTCTTTCCATCAGAAGTCTCTTCCACCCTCTTCCTCCACACTTATATTTACCTCTCTCCATACTGATCTTCATCAGACTTTGATTGCATGGGAGGTACGACATACTTCTCCTCTGTCTCCCTTCCTTCTATCTTTTACCTGTTGAATCATTCACACCCAGCTTGACTACTGTATCCTGTTGGGCTGTTGGTACCCATCTTGACTCCTGTATCCTGTTGGGCTGTTCACACCCACCTCGCCTCCTGTATCCTGTTGGACCATTCGCACCCAGCTCAACTTCTGTATCCTGTTGGGCTATTCACACCCAGCTCGACACCTGTATCCTGTTGGGCTGTTCACACCCAGCTCGACACCTCTATCCTATTGGGCCCTTCAGTATGCCTTATTATGAACCTCTTTCTTTAGGGTTTCCTACCTTCATCTGTCCCTATCCTAGGAGTACATTTTTCCATTGACCTCTTTCCTTCTTCTCTTATGGGATGGGTCTGTCAATTCCTCCATGGATGTGTTCATCTTGGGATGTGGATGCTTGTAAAGTATTTCCCTTTTTCTTCACATTTGATTCATTACATTTTTCATTCTCTCGCGTTTCTTCTTCGATGGCCCTTGAATGAGCTCATCCAGGCAAGCATATAGACTCTCTCCACACATTCATCTCCTTCTCTATACCTTCTGGCTGTTTTGTCTCTTGATGGTTTTGGCTTCCACAGGTTGCCATTCTTCAGTCACCCCACCATCTCTGAGAAGAATACATACCATTTCTCTTCCAGGGACCTTCTTTCATTACATAGGATCCCACCAGGTGGCTTGTGTTGCATCCAATGGTATACTTTCCCCAAATCTGCATGGAGCCAAGATGATAGAAATGCTTATACTACCCTGGTTCTACATGTGAGAGAGGAAGTTCCATAAGATCACCCGAGTATACGCTTATACTACCCTGGTTCTACATGTGAGAGAGGAAGTTCCATAAGATCACCCGAGTATACGCTTATACTACCCTGGTTCTACATGTGAGAGAGGAAGTTCCATAAGATCACCTGAGGTATTATCGTAGAATATATATATCTATATTCACTATGTTGTCTGACCCAGACCATACCTATTCCTAGGACTATCATGGAAAAAGTCGGCACCTGTTAGGTGTTCTGCCGACTGTTCAGAACAGGGTTTCACAGTCATCCACTGTCTCTGGTAAAGGATATTTCAGGATTGAAAGACAATGGGGATCCAGGTACCTTTTCTGTGTCTGTCCTACCCCAATTCATCGAGCAGAGTACGAGAGATCCTTGGCATTACCAGTTCCTAACCACTGGGATGGTAGACCACACAATAAATGACTATACCCTCCTTCTGCAACCAGAGCCTGTCCAGTAGAGTTGAGGTGTCCACACAATAAATGACTATACCCTCCTTCTGCAACCAGAGCCTCTTCAGTGCAGTTGAGGTGTTCACAAACTGCGTATGGGACCAATGCTGCATAATACAGTGCCCTCCTCTTGTAGATAGTCTATCCCATAAAATCTGTTTAGTTGAGTATAGGTGAGCACTTACTATGCAAAATTAATAAATATTTATATGTCACAAGCTGCTCTCGTACAGCCACTGCCCGTTCAGTTGAGTCGAGATGACCACACGCACACGATATCGGTCCTTACTATATATTTGCCCTCCTGCTGCAGGCGGGGATGGGCAGAATTGGTACATGGCCATTCAAGTACTTGCACACAAATTATCAGATGGCCAATATGAGTAGTGTGGTTGGGGCTCATTCAGACTGTACCTTGTGTGCTCACCTCAACTCTACCATCAGAATTGATAGGTCAAAACCAGCTGAGGGAGGAGGGCACTTCACTGTATGTAGTATCGATACTTATACACCCTAACTTGACCAGTCTCTATGGGCTCAATGCCAGCTGCAGAAGAAGGGTATGTGAGGGATACATCATAGGTGTGTACGAGGTGTTCATCTCAACCCTACTGTCAACATCAAGACTCTATGGGACTTAAATCAGTGTCACAACCCTGGCTTCCTTGCCTCCTCCTTATACAGGTGAAGAGTATACCCTGGATGAGACGAGATGCAATCTCCCACAGGTGCATCCCTGTGGAGCACCTGCCATTTGGTGTCATACTACATGGGCTTCCTTCGGACACTTTCTGACAGGTGCTCATGTAGGTATGTCTTGTCCCAGTCCCTCTACTAGCTAATCTGTGTGAAGAGGTGAGTTTTCATCTCGAAAGTTAACATTTTACTTTCCTGAAAATGTATTTCTGATATATACTCATCTCCGCATACATTCCCACCAATCCTCCCCACTTCCAGTGCACGTTTACTTACTTGACTCCTTAAAGGATTAAGATTCATGAGTGCAAATGCATAGGGGGAGTTAGTGTGCATGAAGGTGTGTCACCACGCAGTGATACAATTCATGTGAAATTAGGTGGGAGTTGCCTCAAGGTTAGTAGCATGCAATCTCTTTGGCAGACATATGAGGAAGATAGATAATCTGTGTGTGTGTGGTGAGTATATATTGGAAATACAGGTAAGGAACATGCTAACTTTATGAATCTCCTTTCTTTGGAAACTCAGTTTCATTTTCAACATTTATGTATGCTGTTGAATAGTGATGTTTTGTGATAATGTGTATGCTGTTGAATAGTGATGTTTTATGATAATGTGTATGCTGTTGAACAGTGATGTTTTGTGATAATGTGTATGCTGTTGAACAGTGATGTTTTATGATAATGTGTATGCTGTTGAACAGTGATGTTTTATGATAATGTGTATGCTGTTGAACAGTGATGTTTTAT